GAAAATTACTTAATCACTCTATAATCCAGCTCAGCCTTTTGAGAAGATGTGGATAACACTGTTTTTCTCTGCCTCAAAGTGAATCATTCATTCAAACAAAAACATGTTGGGCATCTATTATATAAACATAAAAGGTACTGGTTTAAGAATTAGCTTACTTTTTTAAAACTTAATACTGATTGCTCTTTTAACTTGAGTTTTTGTTGATAAAGAAAAAAAAATCACTTGTGATCTGTTAAACCAGAACATGACTGGAGATCAGGAGTCTTGAGCCCTGACCTGATTTTGCTGCAGTTATTTAGCAAAATAACTGACCCTGGGGGAGGCATGCCCCTTCCTGAATTGGATGGTTTCATTTCCCCTAAGTGGAGAGGTTGAGGTTATGTGATCTCTGAAGTTTTATCTGTATCTGAGTTTTTACTGTTTGGAGATCAGATTCATGTAGCATTTGTTTCCGCACATTTTTTTTACAATCTCCACTTGCCAGCTTATAGACATGGGGTCCATTTTTAGGCTGGATTAAAGACATGTCACAAAATCAGAAGACTGTTTAAAATGTATGTGATATTTTAGAGAACAATGCTAAGTGTACTCACCTAGGTAAAAAAAAAAAGAATATTGCAAGTATTTATAAAAGTGACTTCCAAACTTTAATGTGAATATGATACACCTGTAGATCTTATTAAATGCAGGTTCTGATTCAGAAGGTGTTGGTGGAGGTCTGCACTTCTAGCCACTGGAAGGGGATGTCGGTGCCTCTGGTCCATGGACCACCGTTTGAGTAGCAGGGCTTCAGAATCCCTGACATGCTTCTCCACAATCACATTTCTCTCCTTCCTCTGCCTTTTCTTTTTCTTCTGGGTTTTGTCTGTTGAATATGTATTTCTGAACAATATATTTGTATACTTTTTGGAAACCTAAGTAGCAAGTTCAAACCTAGCTGTGAAAGGAATTTCGGGCTCTCGGGAGAAAAACCGAATGGGTTTCTGATTCATGGTAAGGCTTTAGCTTGTCACCTTCACGGAAGCTGCTTCTGGAGCAATCCCGTGTGCAGTCCTTCGACGAGCTGTTTCCGCGTGCAGGGTTCACACTGTGCAGACACCGCATGGGCAGGCTGGCCCCTTTTGGAGGAGCTGTGCCTGTAGACGGCCTGATTCACCTGCTCCTCTTGGAGTGTTAGGTGCTCTGAGTGGGAGTGGAGGTGGCCAGTCTTGGGAATGTGGTGGCTCAGCCTGCCCTGAGGTCTGTGGTGGAAGGTGGCTGAGCCTCACTTGGCTT